CCCCTCCCCCCCCCCCCCCCCCCCCCCTCCCCTTGTTGTTGTGAGATAGATGTAGATTGGAAGTGAATAAGAAATCAAATATATCTGAATATGAATACATATTAATGATAGAAAAAAGGGAATATAAATATGAAATACAAAGCCAGTAGAGTTCACAAAACAGTATTGAAACATGCAATTTGTGATTTATTTGTAGTTTCTTCGTACAAAGGACACTGATCCACGTTTGGCAGCCCAACTATGAAGCTCTATTGCGAGTCATTAGTAACTTTATGTGTAATCCAGATAACAAACCAATCAACCAGAGAGTAATCAATGCAAGTCAGATCATAACCAATTAATCCATAGGTATTTAACGCAGGTTAGAACATAACCAAATCTTTTCGGTGGAGATAATGATTATCTTAATCATTACATTGCTTTTTCTCGTACTATCTTAAGTAATTAGCATCGTCATCATTAGAGACATCTTTTTATGATCTCGCACGTCGTATATAAAGATATAGTGTTACAATTAATATTTCGTATAACGCAATATTTCGTAGCAGAGAGGAAGCGGGAAATGGAAGAAAAGAGAGATGGAAGGGAAGAGATAAGAGATGGGGAGAGAGCGAAAGGAAAAGTGGGAGAGCTGTTGGGGAACAAAGATTAGTTAATGACGGGTTCTTATCGTCTCTTTGCTTTGACACTTATTTTCTCTCCCTTTTTCTTTGTCTTCGATTATCAGATGTGTCTGAGGGAGATCACTGTGTGATTGGGTGTGTGTTTGTGTTCATATGTGTCTGATCTCAATAAAAAAAAAAAACAGAAAATTGGGAAAACAAAAGCATAATCATCAATGTCAATCAACCATGTTTATCTCTTGTTTTCAATAGAAAGCATTCGCTGCAAGTGACGCAAAATAGAAACAAAAGTCTGCTACATTTCAAAAGAAGAGCGATTTCCTAGTGGACCCATTTTCTATGATGGATCAAACTGCCAATGAATCAACAAATTTCATCTCAATTCCGAATGTGAATCCAGATCAATCCCCAAAATCCACTGGATCCCTTACACCATGTACATACCCACATATTAATTTCCATCCCTGCTTGTCAATCATCGCCTGGCAAAACACGAAAACCAACCCATAAGCATATTAAAACGGGAAAAAAAATCTCCCCCAAAAATAGTAAGACTTGCCATATTGTTCCTGAAACGAACGTTGAACAAACTATCCAAAAGTTAACCTGACGATTATCAGAATAGGCGATCATCCCATTTTCATACTTATTTCATCTTTATAGATTAGTTAATTAACATTTCATCATTATTAGTTTCGTTCTGAATTATCCTTTCGACAAAAATAAAGACATTCCAAAGGTTTGGCATTTGTAAAAGTGAGCTTCGTAGTAAATTTTCTAAATGGGAGTCAATAGAGAGCTTTAGTATTTGCTTTAGTTTTAGTAAAAGCTTGCTGGAAAAAGAGAGAGGGGAAAATGTGAATAAAATCTGACAAGAAAGAGAATTTATAATTCCATAACTGGCGATAAAAGGAAGTCTCTAATTTCTCATGTTGAACTTCATACGCATACATTGCATTAGCATACCGGTAATCGAACAGGAATGTAAACACTGGAAACAAATGAAATTTGTAAAAAAAAAAAAAAAAAAATGCATCAACTCTTTTCCAAAGAGAAAGGTTGCCAACAAGGAAATCATTAAAAGCATATATTATCATAGTAAATTAACACGCCCTCCTCCCCTCTACCCCCCCCTCCCCCTGCCCCTCCCCCAATTCCCCTTCCAGTGTTCCTAAAAAACGATTTCATGCCAGCGCTTCTATAACGAATTTTATGGTCTCCGTTGTACATTAGTGCGTAGGTGTGGCCGGGGGGGGGGGCGTGTGAAAGCGTATATCCCACGAGTCACAATCATCGCTAGCAAATTTAAAATGCATACATGAATTCATAATTAGGAGAGAAGGCCGTATTGCCGTCTGTAATAGGGGCTAATAATTGTTCATTGATCAGTAATACGCTCAAGCATTATCATATGCATATCAACTTGTGCAGCAAATGGCATTTATTGAAATTGCTCTGCTGTTTTTATAAGATCAAAAGTGTTAATGATATATTTTTGCGGACCAGGGATCTACTTGTATGATTAGGGGAGAAACTGGGGGTTCAAGGGGGTAAAGAAACTGGAAACTGGTAAAAAGAGGGGAGGAACTGGGGAGTCCAAGAGGAAGAAATGGGGAGGGATTGACTAAAACGGGGAGAAATGGAGAGGAATTGAGAGATCAAGGGTAGGAACTGAAGAATAATTGAGAGTCCAAGGGTGGGCACTGGGGATGAATTGACTCCAATGGGACAAACTGAAGAGGAGTTGAGAGTTCAAGGATAGGAACTAGGGTTGGGATTGCGAGTCCACGGGGGAGAACTGGGGAAGAATTGACTCCAAGGGGAGGAATTGAGAGTCCACGGGGAAGAACTGGGGAAGAATTGACTCCAAGGGGAGGAATTGAGAGTCCACGGGGGAGAACTGGGGAAGATTGGGACTCTCCAAGGGGAGGAACCAGGGAGGAATTGAGAGTCCATGGGGAAGAATTGGGGAGGAATTGACTCCAAGGGGAGGAACCAGGGAGGAATTGAGAGTCCAAGGGTAAGAACTGAGAAGGAATGGAGAGTCCAAGGGGAAGAAATGGGGAGGAACTGAGAGTTGAAGAAATTGAGGGTCTAAGAGAACTAGGGAAGAATTGAGAGTCGAAGAGGAACAAAATGGGGGAGAAGCTCTAGCCGGGGAAGATCTAGGGAGAAAACTTTAGCCAGGGGAGAGATTTGAGAGGAATTTTAGCACAGGGGAGGAGCCAGGCTTGACTTCCAGACAGGGGAAATTTTTGGTCTGGTGAGGAACTCTGAAAAAGTTATAGAGGATTTGGAGAGTTGATTTTACAGTAATGTAGGTAAGAGTGAGACTAGAAGGAAGTGTGGGAGGGAGAGTTATAACATTTCAGAATAAAAGTTGCAAATTTTAGGGGAAATTTTGGGGAATAAGCTTCACAGAGGGAATTTGGAACCGGTGGAAAATCTCTAGCATGGAAGAAACCTAAACGAAAGATTGACCTGGAGAGAAACTAGGGGAGAACTGGCCGAGTTTTCAGTTTCGATTTTAAACAATGGTGACCTCTTTGAAAATGTGATATTCCCTCGTGATCCCGAAATACTACTTTTCTTCTTATTCTTTATTTTCCTTCAATCTACCGTAGTGATCCTTCAATCTACGGTATTTATTCATTAATCAGATACCTCATTTTGTTATTTATGCCGGAAAACCAAATACCCATTTCGAGAAAACAAGTAATTCGATGTAATCACGAAAAAAATATTTTGATTCGCTTACCAGTCACTATTATTGTACAAATACATGCTACAGTCAACGCATTCATTCATAATTTCAGTGCCAAGATTCGATAGAGAGTAGTGGGCGACGCATCTATTGTGCTTCAAATTGCGGGGGTAAAATAGATATAAAATGGCACCTCTTCCCAGTACTGAAGGCGTTCATGTGTAAATACATTTTGTATTTTCAGAACTAATATGTAATACTGTTGATTTCATTGCAATCGGCTGCCTTCACAACGCATGTTATAATACTTTGTGGAAGACTATTTTCGCCCTTGCCAAAGTACTGTAAATGTAACCAAAAATATATTTCCACTTCCATTTATACTGTTGAACCCAAAATTTAAATTGACTTTTTCCCAAGAGTTTTGTGAAGGATGTAAGTATCCCATCCTCATCATAATTAAAGAGGGGACTTTTGACTTTACTTCAGGTAATTATAAAAATATTGAGTAAATTATGCGAATAATTATGTATCTAGACATATTTGATATATCACGACGCTCCCTCATTGGCTGAACGTGATGACGTGTCATTAGCTCCGCCCCCTTTTGTGACCTTATCAGTCGGAGAAATATATTATGATAAGTGTTTTTTATGTGCATTTTCTTCTAAACTTATTCAGTAATAACAATGGTAGAAAAATACTAAAAAAAAACAAGATAAAAAAAGGACTGAAGAA